CTGTGAATCATTTATGGACAAATTTAAGTAGTTTTGGACAATCTCTATGTAAGTTTGGACACATTTTGAGAAACTTTGGGCAGGTTTCAAATAATTTTCGACAAATCTAAGTAATCTCGGACAAGTTTCATGTGATTTGGCACAACTTTTATCTTATTTCTGACCAATTTTAATACTGTTGGAAATGTTTGACTAATTTTAAACTATTTCCGATCATTTGGGACAAGAATTAAGTCGTTTTTGGACAAATGTAGTTAATTTTGGACAGATTAAGAGTCATTTTGGGAAATGTTAAAGTGATTCTAGACGATGTTTGTCTTATGTACGATAACATTTAGAACATTCTCTACAGGTTTGAAGCCATTTTGGACACAACACAAGTCATTTTGGGCAGTCTTTGGTCATCTTAGACACGTTTCAAGTCAGCAAACAACTGGACCTCGTCGTTGCTGTGGTGGTGCCGTTACCTCGTAGGTGGCCAGCCGGTCCAGGTAGGACAGCAGCTTCAGTCGACTCCGACACAACTCCTTCTGCTCCAGAGTCAACCTAAACATACGAACACACACATAGAGGCGAGTCAACAACGAGTCCTTCAGCACAACAAAGCTCCACCCAGAACCCGGAGTCAACCCGACTCCAGCTCCGCCGCCGGCTCTAAATTAACTGTAAATGGAGGCAGCACAGGGAGTCCGCGGGGAGCCGTATACCAACACCTGGACCGGTGACGCCTCCAGACCTCATCATTTCTGAGGCCACAAATCAGCTGCTTACGGCCACGCCGACCATTCAGCTGTTATGTATAGGACGCCGGCTGTCGGCGGGCTGACGGATCGGCCCGCCAGGATCCGATCCGTTTCCAATGTCGCTTAATCACCGTCATAAATAAAAGCGAACAGCGAGCAGCGAGCTGCGTGGGATCTACCTACAATTCAATCAGTCAAGGTGAGCCGGGAGGCGGCAGAACGAAGGCTGCTGCAGGAGCTCCGGCATTCACACGACCGCCGGTACACAATCATGACGGTTACCGGCTTTTGGTGCCACGTTCAGGTCATTAGGGGCGATTTTAAGACAAACTATGAGTCATTTTGGACAAAATTAGGTCACCTTTAGCTGGTTTTAAATAATTCTGGATCATCTTGGTCTTATTTCAGACAAAGCTGGAGAAATCTGGGACAATTTGAACTCGTTTTAACAGCTTTAAAATCAAAACAGCAAAAAAATGGAGTAAATGTACGTAGTTTAGGACAAATGGAGTCATTTCGAAACAAATTCCAAGTGATGTTGGACCATCTTTGTCTTCGTTTGGACACATTTGGGGAAATGTTGGGCAGGTTTCAAGTCGTTTTGAACAAATTAAGTAATTTGAACAATCTGAACTAATTTTGAGTCAAAACAGCAAAAAACAGGGACCAAGTTTGAAATAATTTGGGGAAAATTTAAATGGTTGTGGACGAATTATGAGTAATTTTGGACAAAATCTAGTGATTCTGAACAACTTTTAAATAATTTTGGACCATCTTTATGTCATTTTAGACAAGTTTTGTGAAATCTTGGACACATTTCAAGTCATTTGAACAAATGTAAGTAATTTTGGACAAGTTTTAATTCCTTTTAGACAATCTTTATCCTATTTGGAGAAATGTGGAGTAATTTAGGACAAGTTTCAAGTTATTTCGGACAATCTGCTTTATTTCCGATCAACCACAGAGGAGCTGAGCTCTCTACTGCCATCTTTATTCAGTCATTTTAAGACACATTTTATTAATTTTGGCCAAGTTTCAAGTTATTTTGGAGTCATTTCCGACAATTTGGACTAAACTCTGACATGTTTCAAGTCATTTTGGAGAATTTTGAGTCATTCTTGACATTTTTCCAGTAATTCTGGACAAACTTTATCCTATTTTGGACAAATTTAAGCCGTTCTGGTCACGGTTTAAGTCATTCCGGAGCATTCTGAGTCCTCTTAGACAGGTTTGAAGTCAAACAACAGCCTGACCGGGCTAAAAACTGGGGCCGGAGCGACCGCCGGGGAGCTGACCTCTCTAGCGCCGTCTTAATCCCTAATCCCTCATTACAGAGAGCGCTATCGGCCTTATCGGGTTCCCCTGCACAGACTAGCAGAGATTAGCAGCAGCTCTACACTCTGTGGCACTTCAAAGACGCCGGCTCGCTGCTGCTAATTACTGCTTTGCTCTGTTTCTTCACAGCGGAGACGAGAGGAGGATGCTAGAGAGCCGACTCTGAGGCCTGAGCGACGCTCGATCACAACTTCAAACATTTACAAAACAGACTCAGAAAGTGAAAATGTGTTGACGGCGTATCTCGGGGCTTATCGACGTCTCACGAAGCTCCTGGGTCAGTCTGAGTCATTTCAGATAGCAGCGTTTACTCACTTGGTATTTGGGACACAAAACTGAGAGGAATTTGGAGAATTTAAAATGTTTTCAGACCCGAAACTTTTCGATTTTCACCCCAAAAGACTTGGAAAGACATTTTCAGGCTTCAATATGTCCAGAGATAAAACTCCCACAGCCATGAAATGTGTTCCCACCGATCCACATGATTAGATTTCAACATGAAGTCAGCATGAAGCAGCTTGTAGCCCATAAAACACCAACATATTGACCCAGTTTCTGGTTCCTACCAAAGATCCACATCAACACTGAGTTTAAACAGCACATGTAAGTAATTTAAGACAAGATTCAACTCATTTTGAACAATTTTTTCACATTTTGGAGCAATTTTGACTCATTTTTACCAGATTTTCACCTTGTCTGGTCCAACTTCACCACATCAGGTTCTACTGATGTTAGACCCTCAACAGTTGGTGAAATGAGACCAAAGACTGGATTCTGGTAGAACCATGGATCCATCCATAGATAGACACTGACAGGAACATTACGGGGATCAATACCATCTTTTTAATCCTTTTTAAATAAATCTTGAGTAATTCTGGGCATATTTTG